CACATTTTTGACCGGTAGTGTGTATAGAGGTAATTCTGACTTTGCTATGACAATCTGGCGCTTCTGAATCAGCTATTGTTTTGTTATTAGTTTAAGTATTTGCTATTGACTGTTCAAATGCGGAGTTTTGCGCATCGTGTGTGTGTGTGTGTGAGAGAGAGATAGAGAGAGAGAGAGAGAGGGGGTCACATCACAGTGGAGTCAGCGGTCTTAACCGAAGCTCGCGATTATGGTAAGGGGCGTTACATTTCCGACGAGTGCTTGCGGTGTTCGGCCAATCAAAATGCACTGGGTCAGCTGGCCAATCAGAGCAGACTGCGCTTGTCGGAAGGAGGGACTTTGTAGAAAACGAAGCGTTTGAGAGAGGTGGGGCATAGAGGACCTACAATAATGTACAGTATTTGAAAAATAATGTGTTGTTTGAACATTAAAGCATGTCAACATCTTCTGTTACACCAAATACACAAAATAATGATCTTTAAAAAAGCATCATATGACCCCTTTAAATAATCACTATAACAATCAGTGATAAAGAAAATAAATGTTAATTTCAAAACAAAATACAGTTTTAACAAAAGGCCAAATAACAATAACAATGTGGCTATCACATTCAATTACAAAAATAGTTTACAAGTGGAGCTAAACATGTAAACATGTATAATGCTGGTTTTCATAGAACATGTACCTTTGGTGTAATGTTTTGAGGCAGTAACCGTAGCACTTTCAGTGAGGTATGGTGTACATACATACGTTTGGCACGATGAACTTCCTCTTTTTCTCGCTTGGATGTTAAGAGGATGTAGTGGGGGACAAAAACAAGCTATATCCCTGCTGGTTCACTGAAGAAAAAAAAAATCACTTTTTTTTTTTTTTTTAAAGTGCCTGTGCCCCTGAGAAAGTTTTGTAATGTGTGGAGAGCGTCTCTTCTGCTCACTGGACTTCCTCTTTGGATTCGTCACCAACTTCTCCCTGTGAAGGGGGAAAAATGTTTCTCTGTGTTATTAGGCCAGATGTCATTGTTGTGAATAAGTGTGCTGTGATTGAGACACTTACATTGCCTGCATGCATGTTTCTGTTAATCCACGTGGAGTATTTTTCCTGTAGATACTGGGCACCTAAGCCCAGCACGTAGGTCATCGGATGGTAGTGGATGCCAACAAGCTGACTGGTGGCTTCACAGACCAGAGCCACATTGACTTTCTTGTCTTTCTGCTCTGGAGGCAGATCTGGAGAGACACTTCCACAGAAAGCTTCCATCACTTTCTTGAAGAAGCCGTATGTGAGAGAGGACTGCAGCTTCTCATGTAACACCTTGTCTTCCTTAATCTGCAGCAAAGACAGGACAAAATAGATGTTTACAGTATATAGCATGTTTGTGACTGCAAATGTCTATCTTGTTTCAGGTCTAACATGCACTAATTCTATTTTTGAATACCCACATATTTGGTATTCAAAAAGCGTAGTTAACCATATTTTTATACTATTATATATTTTTTACTATTAAAAACCAATAAAAGGAATATTTAATCATGTAAGGATATTATAAAAACATGTACAAATATAATTTGTACTGGGGAAAATCCCACTGAACTGCACAACAGAAGTATTTTCATTCGTAACAGACTTTTGGACTTTATATTGGAATATTCAGTATATTATTTATATCATTTAAAGTCTGTTACGAATGAAAATATTTATATTGTGCAGTTCAATGCAATTTTCTCCATTACATATTATATCAACAGCATAGTGTCAGCAACAAACCATTAAAAACAAGAATATTTAACAGTTACGGAGTTAATAATATATACACACACATATATACA